CCATAGTCTCTCGAGACTGAAGGATGCCTACTACCTAAATAGAACAGCTTTCCTAAGCACTGGGTGTGGGCAGATGGGAACATGCTTGCTATTACATCACATTTGTGCAATGTTTGTGCGTTTCCACAACCATCAGACCATACTTTGTGCTGGCAGGGGCAGGAGATACCTTTTGGTCTATAAATCCCAGAATCCCCAGTCAGCACAGCTAGTGGCTAGTTCCTTTTGGAAGCAAAATGATGAATTGGAATGTTCTTAAAAGCAGCTCTTATGTTTAGCTTGCTCTTTAATGGCACACTGATTATTTTCAGACGTCATTTTTTTCTGATGACATGCGGGTTGCTGGATAGAAATGTTAATTACTGTATAGGAAACAGTTCTCCACACATCAAATGGGAGAGGTAGTTTCATTACATGCAGTAAGTCTTCTAGCTACTTGGTTTGGCCAAAATGCCTTATATTGCTTCCCAAAAATATTTTACCAGAGCTACAGGGAAAAACTACCGTAGGATCTAATATAAGATTCTTCTGTTGAAAGCTCAAATACTATTGAGGGACACCTTAGATGCCCAGGATAGAGAGTTAGTGGTATATTTCTGCTAAAATACTGTCTTTGTAACATTCAGGTTCTAATTTTGAAATTATTCATTAATAAGAAAGTCCCGTTCTTTCATGATTGTTGAGGTGGGTTTGAAGCAGGTCTTTCTCAACCAGAAGTGCTTCTTAATGAGAGCAATTAAAAAGAATCTTTGGATTCTCCCCCACCCACCCTGCTCCCTTCCCACACAGGCACCAGAGATTTGCTGGAAATGCCTGTAATTTTGGCACAAATATTTGCTTTTCCTCCAAACAAAGATTAGCAACATCCTCAGGAAGTGCCCATTTATATAACATAAGAGGATTTTAAAGCACTGTCTGTAGTTTTAAAACCTCTTCATTTCTAGGTCAAATATTAACTTTCCTAGCTACCTTTAAAAATGTTCTCTGCTTCCACTGGAAGGGGATTGCTCTTGGCAATCCATAGTGTGCCACCATTGCTGGTGGTGAGGCAGTAAGGCATTATAGCAGCTGTAATGTAAGAAACATCTGGAAATATCCAATTACCCTTCCCTGCTTTATCACAATCCCATGGGCTGATTTGGAAGACAGACTCACATAATTCTGTGGCATGTTCTAAAAACTTATGATTATAAACTGTAAACTTAACCATCGTAATTTCTCAGCATACCTGTGTCTGTTATTCATTTGTTTTAACGTGATATTAATCTAAAAGGTCAAGGGTATGTAGTAGCTTTTTCCAGGCACAATAAAAGACACACATGCATAGGACAGAATCCATGCAAACCTCATGTTTGTGCACCTTCATCTTTACTACCAGTACAACCATTAGAAATTAGAAGCTTTTCCTTCCATTGTTAACTAACTACAGTTTAGCGTTATGCCCAGACAAACTGTGGTTAGTCTTAACTCTAGTTTGTTATAATAAGATAGTTCCAAACACATGTTTATGGAGCTTGATGCCTTCAGTAAACTCTAGTTAAGAAATGGAAACATTTTAGATGGGCAGGGAATCAGACTAGATGACCTATGGATCCCTTTGAATTTCTGCCGATCTACGGTTTTGTAATGTCAAGGTTCACACTTAATGGGAAACTGTAGTTAACAAAATGAAAGTGGATGCTTCTGATCTTTTCCCCGCTTGCAGGCGTAATGAGGAGTGGTGAGAGTGTTAGCCTAAGGCTTATGGTTATTATTTATTAATTCCATTTATCTCTCATATTCCCACCAATTTTATTTGCTTTACTCATGTACCCCCTTTCTCCCAGAATTGAGCTAGTGAGCTCCGGGTGGCCTACATGGCTATACCCCTGGCTCCCTCCTCACAACTGTTCTGTGAAGTAAGTCATATGGAGAGACTTACTGGTCTATCGCCATCCAAAGATTTTTGTGGCTAGATCTCCCAAGTTCCAGTCGAACAATGCACCAGACTGGCTTGCACAGCTTTGATAATGTATTTCGTTATCGTTACATTCAGATTGTTTAGTATTGTTATTATAGCCCACCAAATTCCCAGTGGATTTCAGGCAGGTTTCCAGGTGCAATAGAACAATATTTTTTCTGCTTTCTCCCTCACATGAACAGCATCCGTACATGTCCACAATTAGCACCCAAAAGGCTCAGCGGTCCGATGTCACCTTTGCAAATTCTTTTCAAGTATTCACTGACCGTTATCTCCTGTTTTGTGTGTGAAATGGTTGCCTTCGCCTGTGGTGTGGTATTTCCTGCTCACAGCTCTGTAAAGCTAAAAGGAAGCAATAACTTGTCTGTATGTGACTTCTATTTCAGGCTGTCTCCTGTACTCTGAAATGCAAATGAATAGATTTTTCCCCCTTTTGGCACTGTTCATATATATATAAAAAAAGAAAAGGAAAAATAAAAAAGGGAGAAGCAGGAAATGAAAAGATGACTTTGGAAAGGCTTGCATTTCCCATTTGAGTGACAATTTCCTCATGAACAGACTGGATTATTCACATGACAAAAAATAAAGCCTGGGTAGATTAATGGGAGAGGCAATTTAATGAACAATGGCCAAAATCCTGTTGCTTATCACGGTAAATCACACTAGAGTAGGCCCATTGATTCAGTGGGGATTTGGCGAGTCAAATCCTCCATATGCTCTGTAGACTCAGATAGGGCTGCTCTACAGGCAACTCAACAAATCTCCATTGATTTAGTGAATGTGCTCTGGTGCAATTTAGTAGCAAGAGGACTTTACTCAATATCTGTGTGGAGGAAAAGAGAAAACAGGGTAGGTTTACATGCAATAATCAATGTTGGAGGTAGACTTACCATGAAGATAAGGTGAGGCAGCTTACATGCATAGATTGTTTTATGTGCAATATAGGATAGCAGCACAGAGGGCTGTGAGTCATACAGGCAGATTGCCTATGTTGTCCCGCTGAAAGCAAAGGACTGAAGTTTTTCCTTGACGAAGACCAGAACACAAGATCAAAGCATGACAGCTTTCTGTGCCAAATCATATGCTGGGCGTCTCTCCATTATAACTCAGCTGGAGAAGGAATTACTGTACTCTCAAATTCAATGGATAGTAGTGGGGGTCTCTCCATTATAACTCAGCTGGAGAAGGAGTTGCTCTCAAATTCAATGGATAGTAGTGGGGAAAAATTTCAGCACCCAGCCAGGACCAAGTTCGTTATCTCTACTCCTTCTGCATGCAGAGAGGACTTGCAGATGCAAAGGGTCTGTTACACCAATACTTTGAAAGGAAACAGAGTTGTCTGTTGAGTAGTGTGTGCATGCATAACAGTGATTCCCAAGCTTTCACAATCCGGTGGTTTTGGACTTCAGTTTCCAGAGGTACCGCCACCGTAGCCAATGAGGAGGGATTCAGGGAGTTAGTCCAACACATCCGGAGGGCCAAAGTCAGAACCACTGATTTTGCGATGAAGGAGAGGAAGGCCACTTTGCCTCTCTGCACCTTGAATGACCAGCATTTTGTCAAGGCAGCCTATCATAAATACCATAGGCTTGTTTGTGTGCCGTTTGTCTCCACCAGGCAAGCTTTCCCAAGCTGTCACGCACCTATTGGGCCTTTGTAAGGCTGTAGAGGAAATAATCTGATCTGTGTGGTAAGGTGCTTATTCAAAATGGCTCATACATCTTGTATCTTTGACTTATTTTCTAGCAGACTGTTACAAGATCTTGAGGTGAAGTTAGACTAAGAATGTTAATACTGGTTTTCTACCAAGGTGGATCCTTGTTTGATAGTATAACACATAATGGCTGAGAAGCTGAGCAGAAAATCAAGAGGTTCCATAGCTACTTTCTCTTCCTCCTCATCCTTTTGATACTCTGCCACGACCTTACTAGTTCATCTTATATAAACCATAATCTCTTGAATGGCAACTTGATCGCAGTAGTAATGACCTATCTTGCAAAAGCAAAGTTGTTGCTTATAGTAGTAATGACCTATCTTGCAAAAGCAAAAAAGCAAAGTTGTTGCTTACATACCACCCCAGTACTGTCTGGGCAGCTTATCATTTAATTATGCAGTCTACAAATTACACCTCACCCCCACAACGAGATTGCTACTCAGTTTATTGACCCTAGAAGGATGGATGGTTGAGTCAACATTGAACTGGCTACCTGAGAACCTTCAGGATTAAATTCAGGTCGTGAGGAGAGTCATGACTGCAATACTGCAGTTTAACCACTTTGCCATGAGGCTCCTCTTGCAGAGTTGCTGTAAGGATATACAGTGGTGCCTCGACGTTAATCCGTTCAAGGAAAAATGTTGCTAAGTGATTTCATAGCTAAATGGAATAAAAAAGCCCATAGAAACGCATTAAAACGTGTTTAATGCGTTCCTATGGGCTTAGAAACTGACCTTCTGCGAAGATCCTCCATAGGGGCCCCCATTTTCGGTGCCTCTAAAGCAAGGCAAAACAGCGGGTGGCCATTTTGTTTTTTGGGTGGCCATTTTGGAACCGCCGATCAGCTGGCCGAAAATGGGGGCTTTGCGATGATCGCTTCTCCACGATCATCGCAAAGCTATTTTTCCCCATAGGGACCATCGCTAAGCGATCACTCTGGCAATGGCCAAAACGCCATCGCTAAGCAATTTCATCGCTCAACGGAGCGATCGCTAAGCGAGGCACCACTGTATAGCACTTTGAACACTCTAGAAATAGTGCACTGTATTCATTTTTCAATGATGAATGTTACCCCTTTCATTACTTCTACCAAACTAGGAGCATGAAATGTTGACTCTTTTGATGTTACATGGAGGGAAGGAGGGAAGACTCTTTTCAGTTTATATCTCTCACATGCCATTGCAGATGGCTCTCCTTGCTTTCTCTCCATCATATGACACTGGTGCAATATGGTGACTTATTCTCTGTTTCCGTTGTAGGTGAACATTATCCCTATTATAGCCAAAGCTGACACCATTGCAAAAAACGAGCTGCACAAATTCAAGAGCAAAATCATGAGCGAACTGGTCAGCAACGGAGTCCAGATATATCAGTTCCCGACCGATGAAGAGACAGTGGCTGAGATTAATGCTACAATGAGTGTAAGTCTTTACTTGTCTCATGTCTTTTCCGCAGAAAAGTTGCCTTGTGTCCCTCCTTGCCTTTCTAAGTTGAACACACCTTGAATGCAGTCTAGTACAATGACAGCAGCCCCCAATCTGAAGCTGTCCATAAGAATGGTGTGCCTTTCCCCACCTTGTTATCTTATTTCTCTGTATTCGGAAGAGTTAGATGTTCCTGAATGGGTCAACAAACAGAACAGAAATGTACCCAGTCGGTCACTCCTTATGGGTTTATCTAATGCAACTTGTCTTTGTGTGAAGCCAGTGAGGCTGAAAATTCTGCTTCAGAGACCTTGGTGTCTCTCCAAGCAAAACAGCAATAAGAGATCACAGAGTTGTGTGCCCTCGTATAGACTTAACATTTGTTGTGGTTTCTTTGAACCTTGACAAACAAAAGGATATTTCATCAAATGCATGCAGTCGGTAATTGAAGGTTTTGCCTTTGTATGTGTAATTGCTTGTGGGCACTCACACATAGTGAACTTTTTTGGGGGTAGGGTGTGTTTTACAAGATGAGAATCTCTCTAAAGTGGCTTGTGTAGTTGTGTACAAAAGATTAGATGCTTTTTACTTCCACGGCATATCCAGGTTAGTGACAGCTGCCCTGACTCTATACTTCTAGTGAGCCTAAACAGGTGACCATTTTAACCACACTTATTGCTGTCTGCTTGTGTGTGACTGGAAAAACACATCCTCTGTACCATTTGCTGTGAGCATGGGGGATTTTTGACCATCTGTGTAGGCTTGTTCATGGCCGTGTGTTGGAACTGGCATTTTATGACTCTACCGCTCTTCAGCTGTGCTGATTGCAAAAGATGTCAATCAGATCAAAGCCAGAGAAGATGACGGAACCTGAATTAAATGGCCTTAAAGAGGTGACTGGGATCATTCCCGGTCATTCACGCCTGATTGCTCTAATGGTGTCAAGCAAGACCTGATCTCATTGGTTTTCTCAAAAGAGGCACAGACAGAGGGGTGGAGGAGGCCATTATCAATTGCTTTGTCCACCAAAAGTCCTACATGCAGCTGTCCTGTGGCTTTACATCAAGAACTGCTCTCCACCCATCTGCCCAACCTTGGCCCAGCTCCCAGAACTTAGCATGGCCTCTGGTTTTACCCCAAAATGTGAGCCAACCTTTCAGAATTGCACACAGCATAATTAAAACACCACCTGGATGACTCTTGGGAGACAAAAATGCAGACCTTGTTTCCTCTTGGTTTTGGCTGTTTGGTCTGAACCCATAATATCCTGGATGGGGAAGGATCTCTAGAGCATCTTTTATGGCTAAGCGGCGGATGGATGAGCTTCTTTTTTTAGGCTGAAGTTCAGTTGCTGTTTCCTGGTAAATTCCAAAAGCTCCAGAGTGGTTTTGGGGTTTTGGTTAGAAGCTTAGGAAATGCAGGAAGAAACTGAGTGCTCTGTTCATGCCAGGCCTCTGTGCTTGTATGTCTGTGTCTGTTGTGTGTCAGTGCTTTGTATGGATGGAAGCTCAGCAAGGGATTGATTGCATGCAGAAATGCTTAGCAAGAGATTTGGGCTAAATTTAGCCTTCTGAACGATGCCACTTACCCAAGTCACTGTAAACTCCCAACTTCAAAATCAGAGAAAGGATCTGCAGCAATAAGATGTGCCCAAAGGCTAGGAGACACAGAAAGAGGGGCAATCTGTGGGTTGCCTTTTGCCCTGTTGAAATGGCCTTCCAGCAAAATTTACTGCTGGAGCATGTAGTCCTCAATGTTTGTATCAGGAATGAACCTGGGACTTTGTTCACACCCTAGCTTGGAAGAATTACCTTTTTCATAGATTCATAGAATAGTGAAGTTGTAAGGGGCCTTTAAGGCCACCAAGACCAACCCCCTACTCAGTGCAGGAATACAAATCCAATAATATCTGCCAGGTGGTTGTCTAAGTTTCTCTTGAATGTCTCCAGTGTTGGAACACCCACCACCTCCTGAGGTAACTGGTTCCACTAATACATTACTTCTCTTAACAGTTAGGACATTTTTCCTGATATTCAACCTAAATCTGGCTTCCTATAACTTGAACCCATTGTTGCATGTCCTGCACTCTGGGATGATCGAGAACAGATCCCGCCCCTCCTCTGCATGACAGCCTTTTGAGCATTTGAAAAGTGTTATCACATCACCCGGCTGTCTTCTTTTCTCACGGCTAAACATGTCAAATTCTTTCAGTCTTTTTGTAGACATAGAATAATTGAGTTGGAAGGGGTCTTTAATTATCTAGCTATTAGAATGTCCATCCAAAGTGGGATTTGAGGAGTTAATTTTTTTTTAAAAGTGGATTTTCCAAGCTATGGTTGAGTCATCACATCATCCCAAACAGTGGCCACTCCGGTTAGTAAGACAGACAGTGATTGGCGCTTATAAACACATGACACGCAAACATTGATTGGACATTCGGTGTCTTTTTTCGTTTTGCAGCACTTGTGTGCCTGTAGTGTAATGACGTTCTGAAGCAGAGATGATTTTAATGGTGGCTTGTCAAGTCCAATATTGTGTCGGATGTCCATTCAGTAGGTTTTCTTACTGAGAAGAGTAAGAATACAGGTGTTTTCCCCTACATGTTGCTGTGTTTTTGCCAGCACACACATATGTGCACATGGTTTTCCCATCACCCATAATTACTGCCGCTGTGCTTGTTCAAATAAATACTCTTGACATTTTTGGAAGGAAGGCTGATGAATGTTCCCTCGAGAGATTCCATTGGCTGGCTGGCTGGCTTCAGGGCCTTGCAACACAAAGTGGCTGCCTGCCTCTTTTTATTATGTTCGCTTTTTCTTCCTCTTGTTAAGAAAGCCTAGAAAATGGGTAGGTTGGCTGGAAGAACCTTCCTTGCATTCAGAGCTGCCCCACCCCCAGGAAATGTCAGAACCTACTCTTGCTGTGGATGAACACTATTTTAAGTTGCACCCATTGTGTAGATATGAAACACAGAAAAAGCAAACAGTTCTGAGTTCTCTGACTCATGATGTTCTCCTGTGACCACTCCTTTCTCAGGGCAAGTTTTGATTCCCATCCGTCTTTTAATTACTGTGGTGCCTCGACTTATGAACTTAATTCGTTCTGGAATTCCGGTCGTAGCTTGAAATGGTTGTAAGTCGAAGCACCATTTCCCATAGGAATGCGTTGAAAATCACCAGAAAACAAACAAACTGCAAGACCCATCAGAAACGTGATTCATCCATTCGGGCCAAGGGGGAAGCAAACAAACCCTGCAAGACCCATCGGAAATGGGGGGGAACCCCCAGAAAGCAAACAGACCCTGCAAGACCCATCGGAAATGGGGGGAAAACCCCCAGAAAGCAAAGAGACCCTGCAATACCCATCGGAAATGGGGGAAAAACCCCCAGAAAGGAAACAGACCCTGCAATACCCATCGGAAATGGGGAAAATACCCCCAGAAAGGAAACAGACCCTGCAATACCCATCGGAAATGGGGGAAAAACCCCCAGAAAGGAAACAGACCCTGCAATACCCATCGGAAATGGGGGAAAAACCCCCAGAAAGGAAACAGACCCTGCAATACCCATCGGAAATGGGGGAAAAACCCCCAGAAAGGAAACAGACCCTGCAATACCCATCGGAAATGGGGGAAAAACCCCCAGAAAGGAAACAGACCCTGCAATACCCATCGGAAATGGGGGAAAAACCCCCAGAAAGGAAACAGACCCTGCAATACCCATCGGAAATGGGGGAAAAACCCCCAGAAAGGAAACAGACCCTGCAATACCCATCGGAAATGGGGGAAAAACCCCCAGAAAGGAAACAGACCCTGCAATACCCATCGGAAATGGGGGAAAAACCCCCAGAAAGGAAACAGACCCTGCAATACCCATCGGAAATGGGGGCAACCCCCAGAAAGCAAACAGACCCTGCAAGACCCATCGGAAATGGGGGGGGACCCCAGAAAGCAAACAGACCCTGCAAGACCCATCGGAAATGGGGGGGGACCCCAGAAAGCAAACAGACCCTGCAAGACCCATCGGAAATGGGGGGGGACCCCAGAAAGCAAACAGACCCTGCAAGACCCATCGGAAATGGGGGGGGACCCCAGAAAGCAAACAGACCCTGCAAGACCCATCGGAAATGGGGGAAAAAAACCCAGAAAGCAAACCAACCCTGCAAGACCCATCACAGCATAGAAACATAATCCTACCACCCAGCCCAATACCACACTGCAAAACCCATCAGAACAGTTTTTAAAATGTCGAAAGCAGCACCTTACCTTACCAGGTAGTCCGAAGCCTCCTCTAATTGCACACTCTCTAACCGTTGGGGCGAAAGAGCTACAAAGAAGCAGCCTCATCACCACCCACAGTTAGCAATTTGAATTCCCCACCTTTTTTCCCTGCCTTTTTTTTTAATCGTAACTTGAAGCTCCGGTCGCAAATAGAAGCAAAAAAGTTGCAGCCCATCACCACCTACAGTTAGCAATTTGAATTCCTCACCTTTTTTCCCTGCCCTTTTTTTTGATCGAAACTTGAAGCTCCGGTCGCAAATAGAAGTAAAAAAGTTGTGGCCGGAGCTGGTCATAACTCGAAATGGTCGTAAGCAGGGACATTTGTAAGTCGAGGCACCACTGTGCTGGGAATGTTCTTGCAGCCATTATGTGTTCCCAAGGGGTTATGAGAACACACACATCTAATTCAGATTTTTTTTAAATGATGAGGAATAGAAGATATGGGTGATGATCTCCCTTCATGCATCTCCACAGAAAATGTCATGTCTGGAATTGAATTAAAAACATTACTCCAGTATACAGTGGTGCCTCGCTTGACGAGGATAATCCGTTCCAGCAAAATCGCTGTAGAACGAAATCGTCGTCAAGCGAAAGTAAAAATCCCATTGAAATGCATTGAAAACCAGTTCAATGCGTTCAAATGAGCGAAATACCTCAGCGTCCAGCAAAGATCCTCCATAGGGCGGCCATTTTCCAGTGCCTGTATAGCGAGGAATCCATCCTAAAACACAGCGGGGAGCCATTTTACACAGCGGGTGGCCATTTTGAAAGCCCGACAATCAGCTGTTTTGATCGTCGTTTTGCGAAAAATCGGTTCTCGAACCAGGGAACCGATCATCGTGGAGCAATTTTCCCCTATTAAAAGAAAAACTTCATCTTTAAGCGATTTCCTCCTCTAACGAGGTAATTGTCAAGCGCAGCACCACTGTAATTCTGTTGGCATAAATTTCAGTTACAAATTATCACTGGTGATGATGTTGCTTCACACGTTTGTTGTTGTATGCCAGGTTATGTGGCAAGTGTGTGACACCAAATGCTTATACCAACTTCTTAACTAGTGGCAACCTCATTGCTGGGCTTACATTGCTGAACTTATGTTGGTAGGCATAAGTAAATGGATCATGGCTATTGAAGGTGTGTTGCTAGTAACCCAGAGTCAGTTATTGGACTCTGAATTATCACTGGTGATGATGTTGCTTCACACGTTTGTTGTTGTATGCCAGGTTATGTGGCAAGTGTGTGACACCAAATGTTTATACCAACTTCTTAACTAATGGCAACCTCACTGTTGGGTTTACATTGCTGAACTTACGTTGGTAGGCATAAGTAAATGGATCATGGCTATTGAAGGTGTGTTGCTAGTAACCCAGAGTCAGTTGTTGGATTCTGAACCAATATTTGCTTTACGCGGATCAGGCGATGAGGGATGTTTTAGGTAGAGCTATATATGCTGTGAATTTTAGAGACTATAAGAACCAGAATTTGTTTGGGGATGACTGTCATGATTTCCTACCATACATGCCACATGCGTTCCTATGGCTTTAAAACTCACCGTTAAGTGATCTTCCTCCATAGCGCCGCCATTTTCGCACCCTCGGTAAGCTAGGGCAGGGCGCGAAAATGCGGCGCGGACCTTCCGGCGGCCATTTTGGAATCACCAATCAGCTGTCTCCCCCGCTTCGTTATGCGATATTCGCTAAGCGAATCGCTTAGCGAATATCGCAAAGCGAAAAAACGCCATAGGGGCCATCGCTGAGCGAATGCTCCAGCGATGGCCCAGAGCCCCTCGTTAAGCGATTTAATTGCTCAACTGGGCACTCGTTAAGCGAGGCACCACTGTATTTGCTTTACGCGGATCAGGTGATGAGGGAGGTTTGGGGTAGAGCTATATATGCTGTGAATTTTAGAGACTATAAGAACCAGAATTTGTTTGGGGATGACTGTCATGATTTCCTACCATACATGCCACGTGTAAACAAACAAAGAAGCAAAAAATCTCTAGGTTATTCATGAGCAGGCTGAAGGTACGCACTAATCCCTGAGAAAAACAGAAGAGGTGAAATGCAGAATTTTAATCAGGATTCAGCTACCTGGGAATCTCATCTTGTGTTTTCAGAAATAGGCGAAGAGATGTCCAAAAAGGTGCACATAGTAGTGGTAGAATTATCACAGGTAAAAGAAGAGGCTGAGTGAAGATCTCTATGATTAGGGATCATTCTCCATGTACTTTCTTACCCCTTTTCTGTTGGAGGCATGAGGGTTTTCATCACGAGCTGCCTCCAAATATTATTGCATAATGCAAATATGGAGATTCATAATGAATTCCTGGGGAAGTAGATTTTTTTTTGATCCAGCACTTACTGTCATTGATTTCCCCCCTTCAAAGACTTTAGCTGAGTTCTAGAGATATTTGAATAGCTTTAAATCAGCATGAGCCAGCGCAGTTGTCACAAAAGAATATTTCCTTCCCTGCCTCCCCACCTCTGTTCAAGGGAAGCATGTCTGGCAAAACAACAGAGACTGCCTATGACCTTCTGTTTCCTTTCGCACCGCAGGTCCATCTCCCATTTGCTGTTGTTGGCAGCACTGAAGAAGTTAAAATCGGCAATAAGATGGCTAAGGCCAGGCAATATCCATGGGGCATCGTGCAAGGTATGTAGACAGAGCATGGTGTGGGGACAAAACTGCTTGTTCAGTGTTTTGCACCCCCCACCACTGCACTGTCCCGTTGGATGTTACAACTCATCTTTCTTTAAGCCAGCAGGAAGAAAAGAAGCGAAGACCACTTGGACGGATGGCTGGCATCCGAACCACAGTGTCAGATGCACCAGAGAGTTGGCATGCACCCTGTGGCTTGTTTATTATTTCCCCTTCATGGACAAATTGCTTTCAGAACTCCATCCAGTTTTCATAAACGGCTGCCCATGTCCTCTTTCAGTAACACGTGTCTTGCCCCCTCTGGAGTGCCACCCATAGCCAGTGGCTTGAGCTTTTGGATGCTGACCTATAGCAGTCCTGTGAATCCATATATGTGCTCCTGTGGACGCATGGAGGTGCATATTTATTCCCTTGGCACAGAAAGAATAGCTCTGTGTGTGCAGAGAGCAACGGACCTTAGAAACGAACTCAGGAGGGCATAAGAAAGCGTGGAACTTAAGTCTCTTGCTATATCTGCTGAGTACTGAAGATGATTTTGTAGCTTGGTTTATTTTATTTCATTTATTTTATTAGCTTTATATAAAAAGGTAAAGGTTCCCCTTGACATTTAGTCCAGCGTGTTGGACTCTAGAGCGTAGTGCTCATCCCCGTTTCCAAGCCATAGAGCCAGCATTTTGTCCGTAGACAGTTTCCATGGTCACGTGGCCAGTGCGACTAGACACAGAACACCGTTACCTTCCCACCGTGGTGGTTCCTATTTATCTACTCGCATTCTTATATGCTTTCGAACTGCTAGGTTGGCAGGAGCTGGGACAAGCGACAGGAGTTCACTCCGTTGCGTGGATTCAATCTTACAACTACCGGTCTTCTTGCAGCACAGAGGCTTCTGCGGTTTAACCCGCAGCGCCACCACGTCCCTAGCTTTATATACTGCCCCATTAATGCAGTACATTCATCTGGGTGGTTCACAACAAGCAGAATAATAGATAAATAACAAAAACATGTGAAACTACAAAAAAACATAACATATAGTTGATTCCTGGTTAGCATTTCTGGCATGCAAGATTTATGGCCATCCTTCTAGAATCATGGGGATACACCAGTAATGGAAGGGTTACCCTGCTGTTTAAAAATGGTGTTGTTTCATGTAGTCAGCATCAAGAGTCTGATGAGGAGCCACTGCTGGAGCATGGGGGCAATAATGTCTTTGTCTCCTTTTTCTGTAAGGCTGGGATGTTCAACACATGGGTGAAGACAAAAAAAAAAGCTATTTCTGTAACCCGCCCCCACTGTAGCTACTGCTGACAACCAAACCGTGCTACTGAAAATTAGAGATGGCAGCTGTACCAAAATGTCCCACCTCTTTTGGTCTTCTTATGTACCTCTGGAAGGGAAGGAGAGGAAAACCGCCAGGAACTGTTGTGTGAGAGAATGCTCTGCAGAGCAGCTACAGCTGCTGCTGAATTTCGTTGCCTAGTGTGATGTTGGGGCCCCTGTAGTGGTTCCTGAATTTCAGTTTTCTTAAGCAAGTCATTTACTCTCTGCCTCATGTTTTCCAATATGTAATCCACACATACTGGTCTGCCTTGCCAGGACGGTTATATTTATTTTATTTATGTATAGGCTGCCTTATATCACAGGATCTCAGACCATGTAATCCACACATACTGGTCTGCCTTGCTAGGACGGTTATATTTATTTTATTTATTTATAGGCTGCCTTACATCACAGGATCTCAGACTGGGTTACAAAGCTGTATAAAACAGTTTTAAAACATAAGATATTTAATACAATTTAAAATCAAGCAGAGAGGGATGTGGTGGTGCTGCAGGTTAAACCGCAGAAGACTCTGTGCTGTAAGGTCTGTAGATCTTCAGCTGTAAGATCGAATCCACGTGATGGAGCGAGCGCCCGTTGCTTGTCCCAGCTCTGCCAACCTAGCAATTTGGAAGCATGTAAAATGCAAAATGTGAGTAGATAAATAGGGACCACTTCAGTGGGAAGATAACAGCGTTCCTTGTCTAAGTCGCACTGGCCACGTGACCACGGAAACTGTCTACGGACAAAATGCTGGCTCTATGGTTTGGAAACAAGGATAAGCACTGCCCCCTAGAGTCAAACACGACTAGACAAAAAAAATTGTGAAGGGGAACCTTTACCTAAAATCAAGCAACACAATGGCCACGTGACCACGGAAACTGTCTACGGACAAAATGCTGGCTGTACGGTTTGAAAACAAGGATAAGCACTGCCCCCTAGAGTCGAACACAACTAGACAAAAAAAATTGTCAAGGGGAACCTTTACCTAAAATCAAGCAACACAATATTGAAACTTTCAACCATTAAAAAAAAAATAAAAACACTTAAAACCTGTACAGGCCACAATTCTCAACCCTAAATAAAGCCTCTAATAAATAAGTGTGTCTCGAGTCAGCACCAAAATGATCCCAACGTTGGTGTCAATGAAACCTCCAATCACGCACCCATTCCCGTTGGGGTGCCATAGCAGAAAATGCCCTCACTTACGTCTCGACACAACAAACTGTTTTCAGTGGTGGAGCACATTTGTAATGAATGTAATGAAATAGTGAGTGTGAAGTGTTTAAGAAAATCCTTTGGAGTGATGGGGAAATCAGGAAAACCTAAAGCAGTTTTCGAAGTAGTATAGTTTTAGAGAAAGAAAGGGCTTTCATGAGAAGGAAAGGAAAGTAGGGGTTTCTAGCGGGGGGGGGGTAATGTCCCATCGAATGCTTGACGAGTGATGGGGAAATCAGGAAAACCTAAAGCAGTTTTCGAAGTAGTATAGTTTTAGAGAAAGAAAGGGCTTTCATGAGAAGGAAAGGAAAGTAGGGGTTTCTAGCAGGGGGTAATGTCCCATCGAATGCTTAATTGAAATTTGTGAGGAAGCCTCCACTTCTGTTATGCCTCCTCATCCCCATCTGTTTTGCAGTTGAAAACGAAAACCATTGCGACTTTGTCAAGTTGCGTGAAATGCTGATAAGAGTAAACATGGAAGACCTGCGGGAGCAGACTCATAGCCGACATTACGAGCTTTATCGCCGCTGCAAACTTGAAGAAATGGGATTCAAAGACACGGACCCTGACAGCAAACCGTTCAGGTGAGCTGCAAAACCCCTGTATGTAAAGGGCAGAGCGTTGATACAAGCCGTGCCTCAGATGTTACAAGGATTTCAGTGTAGATGTGATGTAATGGCTAAGAGATTGAATGAAGAATCAAAAACTCCTAAGACTTTTAATGTTGGCTCTTCCACAAATACACAAGAGAGTGTTATGCAAGCTGTTTCACTCTGCAGACAATCAATCATACAGATGTACCTTTCAGGCTGTGATGATTGCATAAAGAGGCGGAACAAAAAAGCATTTCAAAGCTAGAAAGAACTATGTGAATGTTAATCCTTCTCCTTATTCCACAAATTGCCCCCGTGTGTTATTAAAGAAACAGAGTGAGATGCTAATTCAAGGATTCTCCTTTTGAGGCCAAAGAATGGTACTAGTTAATATTCATGTGTGTCCAGGGCTGGGTGAATTTTGTGCTCTCTCTGATTGTGCCAAGGAACAAACAGAATGTTAGGGGTGGGATTTTGCATTTCAAGGAACTCGAATTGGTTTTCTTTTCAAACATCCCCGTCCCTATTGCCTCTTTCGTTTATTCTGTGGGATAGTCGCTTATTTTCTGGCTCTTTAGCAGATAGTCCTAGACGTCCTTGGTTTTCTCTTCATGACAAATGAGCAGAAGGAAGGGCACAGAGACTCTGAAGCTGGTGAATGGTAAAAAATGCCAGAAAGAGCCCTTCTGAATAGTCTGCTTCTTAGGCTTGAGACATGACATTGTATGGTGTGCTTTCTTTGGCATTTAAGTAAAATAATAATAGCCGCACCATTTTATCGTTGTTAATGAATAGAACTAGTATCTACAAGAGTGTTAGCTCCCCTCCCTAGGCCACTAGAAATAATTCTTGGAGCCTTGTTGCTTTTGAAGCCTCACTGAACCACTACCCTTTATCTACTCAGCTGTAAGAGAAAGACCGCTGAGCTATGCAAGATGATGAACTTTGCACCACAGGTTGAATTCTGTGCTTGCTTGCTTGCTTGGCAGTTCCAGAGATGCAGGGAGTGCCTCTTCATTATTGAATGTACTCTGTTACCTTTTGTTTGTGTCTATATGATAGTGTTGCAAAGAATTCCACAGTGTAGTTTATTTATTTACTAGATGTTTATTTGCTAGATGTAAAATGGACTAGGTTTATCTTCCTTTTCATCACCAGAGCCCTCCACTTTAAAACACACACACACACACACACACAGAGAGAGAGAGAGAGAGAGAGAGAGAGAGAGATTGGATTATACAAGGGTAGAGGTGAAGTGATTATGTAAAACATTGGGGGTCCCATCTACTTGGCTTCTGGGTGTGCTTCGTCCCAGCAATGCGCTTTGTCAGTGTTGCGCATTTGTGAGCGACAGATGCTGTTGGGTTGTCATTTGCCACCTACTTTCTCCTGTTTTTCTGCCTGCATCCATGTGGCCAAGCAGGTTCTCGTCACATTCTGCCAAGAACTAGCTGCCTGGCTGGTCTGGTCTGGAGCCAGGCCCTAGTTCTCACTGAACGGCTGCTGAATCAGCCTGTATCTAATCAGTTTCTTGCGAGACCAATGTTTTTCGATACCTCTCCAGCAACTTCAATGCTGTTTTTTTTAAAAAAAAATTTGGGCAGAGGGATGTCCACCCTGTTTCCTGGGGTTCATTTATAGATCAATTAGAGACAGACATGCCATTATAAATGAATGTAAAATGATGTACCAATTTTTAATTTCTGGAAATGCAGCTTTCTTCCCATCTTGACTTCTGCAGAGTTCCTTTGATAGTAAATGCGCACTGAATTCAGCGATATGGGGGAACAGTCCCTTGAAGGAATGGATTTCTGAGAAAACTGGGTTACTTGACTGAAAAAGTGTTGGTTTTCCTGGGATGTTTTCCCAGTGCCAGCAGTACCCAAGTACAGAAGCTTTATATTTTCATTCTCTCACATTAGCACGTGTTGGCATAGTAGGTCCTCTCTGGAGGCAATGCTAGCTGCTTGTTTCTACATTTCACAAGAATAAATGTATTATACCAAATAGAACTGGCTAGACTCTAAGAGACCACCAGTCTCTTCACTATATTTTCACAACAGTGCACCATGGAAATAGGAAAAAGAGGTTCCCACATCTTGGGAAAGTTACACTATCACACTAACTCCAGGAATACATCAGTCCAGGGAACTCTGGGAAGTGCAGTAGAACAAAGGAATTATTCTAAGCTATGCATATTCCCAGCTAATTGCTGGTACACATAGGCCCTTAAACCTATGTGTACTGTAGTCCAAATGTAGCATTAACTTACTAAGTCTGCCATTGTTATCTTTGCCCCAGGTATCTGAAGCCTGGTTTGCTTGTTACAACTGCTGTGTAGATATTATTTGACATGGTTCTGTGACTTATCTTGAAGAGTAATTCTGCTTTTCCCAAAATGATTCAAATGACCAATTTTTTTAAAAAGACATGTGCAGAATTCTGGAGGAAAATTGGCTAGTTCCACTAACACAAATGGCTGCTCTTCTTTCTTTCTTTCTTTCTTTCTTTCTTTCTTTCTTTCTTTCTTTCTTTCTTTCTTTCTTTCTTTCTTT